CCTCTCCCTCTCCCTCTCCTCCTCCTCCTCCTCCTCTTCTTCTTCTTCTTCCTTCTCATTGTACCCGCTACGCTACTTTAAAATCCCGCTTCTCTATCCCCTTTCTCCTTCAAATTGCCTCTCTCTCTCTCTCTTTCTCTTTTTCTCCTTTCTTCCTGCGATTTTACATCGCGCCGATTGTCTTCGTCTTTTTTCCTCGCCCGATAGGATTTCTAGGCAAACTCAGTGAGAGACTTTTTTTCTATTCCCTGATCTGAAATATCTGAAATATCGGAATCGATTCCTTGAAAATCAACCCGTTCGGATTAAAAACGCGGAACTGAAAACTTGAAACGAAACTCTGTCCGAAAATGTAATAATTTTAACTCGGATCTTTAATCTTTACAGCCGAGCGAGGAATTCAACAGGCTGAACGAGCCGCTTCAAACAATTGCAACAGGATATTGTCCGACAAGTTATCCCGTGACTCAGTCAAACACCGAGGAGAAGCTGCATCCCGGTAAGTGTAGCAATGAACACGAGAGAAGAGAGAATCGGTGTCGAGCGGAATAAGTTTGGAATGGTCGTAGCAGCTATTCCGATATTTCCTTTCGATTTGTTCGTGTATCGCGATAAGACTTTTCGCGAGCGTGGAAAGGTCGAGAGGGCGATCCGTTCGGGTCGCCATCCCCTCGATTTTCAAGCTCTTTGATAGGAGACGTTTCTCGAGAGAGCGAACGACGGCTCTCCTCCGTGACATGGAGTCGTCTCGGCCACGTCTTCGTAGTAAACACGTACTTACACGAAGGAAGGTTTCACGCAGGCACAAGAAAGCGTAGCGGCGGCCCAAAGCACGTGCAGGATGTACGCGAACTGTGTACAACGGGGGAGAAGGGAGAACCACCCCCTGAAGAGAGGCTGTCACCGGCAGGCAGTCGAGTCAATATCTTTATATAGTCGCATCAACGATGATATTATTTTCTACGATGCAATTACGTTTTAAGACTGTGACCAAAGAGTGAGAAGATTTTTCAAACATCTCACCATCTCCTTTATGTTTTAATAAAAATGTTCCTCGTTGGATAATTAATTCTACAATCACGCGCTATTTTGTCGAATTATTCTATTCCCTCGATTAATTCTATCCCGAATAATCCCAAGATTCGTCGTGTTTAATAATTAAATCTCGTTGTTTGAATTTCAATGAACGAGGATTGATTCTATCGAGTTTCGTTCGAAGAAAATTTTTAGGATCGAATGGCTCTTCCTCTTTAACTCCGAAAAAAAAAAAATCGTCGATGTTATCGCAGTAGTTTAGAGCGAAGATGGGTAATTTTGTAATCGTTGGACGATTCGAACGAGTGGAATTTTCACTTGTCGGTCAATTAATCCCCTCGATATCGATAGTTTTACTTACTAGCCTTGACCCAGAAACGCGACTTGACCCAGGAGCGTGAATCCTCAGGACGAATTCAATAAGCAACGTGTTATCGCCGCAAAGAGCCCCATGGGGTAGTCGAAGCCCCGACCGTACCCCCACAGGATTCGTAACCACCCTAGCGGCGTCTGGGCACCGTGATTGACACTTTATATCTAACATTGGCATGCCGTGGTGTGAACCACCAGTCAGGATGGTCCGCCTCCACCTAACTCAATCACTGCCTATAATGCTGCAATTTCTCTATCGTAATCACGTTACGCCCTGCCACCCTCCCCATCCACTTTTCGGCGACGATTCGTCGCGAAGAAATATTGAAACGTCGAAAGAACGAACCTTCCACCACTCTCTTCTCGTTTTCCAGACCCGAGCGCGAAATGGAAACGGAATTACGGTGAAAATATTACTCCAACGATACTCTATGCATCCATAGAAATGTAAGATTCTTTTTAAAAAGTATTTCAATAACCTATTTTTTAATCAGTTTCGAATGTAAGTCATTTTTCATCAAGGATCGAAAAGCGCGGGGAATAGTAATAAATAAGCGCAAAATTTTTCTTCCAAAAAAGGAAGAAAATTGGTTTAAATAATTCTGAAATTCTCCAAACCGTGAAATCTTTAATATCGTTGTTCGTTTAGAAATATAGAATCCTTTATCTCGAATTTCGGTTCGCGTATATATCATTGTCTCGTAGCGAAACGCGTTTATTATCCACGAGCTATGAAGCCGAGTAAATTCGTTTCGTCAGTCTGGATTGCCGCTACGAACAAAACGAGGTTACTGTCAAGTGGCTACCCGTGGCGAATCCTAGAGGCCCATTAAACGGACCCCTAACGTACATTTCTGCCGCATTCTTATATATACGTATATCACTTACATTGAAAGGGGTTGTTTTTGCCACTGATTCATCCCTCAATGTTCAGTCTTTGTTCCTTCTTACGATCCCCGTCTCGTCGAATCTTATTACAGTTCAGATATCGTGTCTCATCGTGACATAATTATTCAAGGATCGTTTTGTGCACGAACGAATGCATGCTTCGTATGTATAATCGTTGGAATAATTATGATTTAGAATAATATTTTTTATCGCTAATGAATATTTATTGAATTTGACGAAATAATATGGTTGAATATGAATGAAGGATTAATTTCACGGTGAGGTAATTATCCCCGAATAACCATTAATCATCATGCTGTCAACTAATTTCTTGCCTGACTCGCTTGAATTAAAGTGTAAGACATATAAGAAAGCTATCGTTTTCGATATTAATATTGCAATGTTTCAATTCTATCTTTTTATCGATTGGATTATATTGATTATACAAATTTAAATTATTTTTATTTGTATATCTATTCAAAATATTTTATTCCATGTATCAATATGGAATAAAATAATTAAATTTTTTTATATTATTATTATTATTGTTGTTGTATAAAATTAAAGAGAAATAATCGTGTAAAAGAAGACATGAATTTCATTTCAGAAAATGAAATATACCCGACACAGGAATATAGACAAGAACCATGGCTTCAAGATGGTGAGTGAGTTTCTTTATAAATAATTTATTATGCATTAATATAAAAAAAATGGATATTTCTACATACATTGAGACGGAAGTTAACAGCT